TTGCTACTGAAGCAGATCAAGGTATGCAGTTTATTCAAAGCCGCAGAATCGAAAGAGATCCGTTTGGTTTGCTTGATCACGTCATCATGGACAGTGGTTGCACCAACACCACCATTTGTAATGGTGAGCTCATGCATGGACTACATCAAGCTGAGAAAGAGCTCGATATGCACACTAACGTGGACAGCAGAGTTCTTGATGAAGAAGGATTTCTAGGACAATTCCCGCCTCCAGTCTATTTTGATGAAGACAGAATTGCCAATGTACTTGCTATGCGTGAGATGATTGCTGCGGGATACCGCATTACCGTGGATACTGATTTTGACAATGCCTTTGTTGTGCATTGCGATGGAGACAGACAGATGCAATTTGTGAATTGTAAGGGTGTGTATGTGTTGGAGCAACTTGGAGCGGATGTCAAACCATGTGCCAAAGAGACAAGTGCAATGTATCGTTGACAGTTAAGCAAAGTAAATAAACAACCCCATTTCGAACTTTCTTCAAAACAGAATGGATATGCTGGACTCGGGATGACTGCGACGATGGCAACAGTTTGAAAGAACAAGGAAGGATTCACTCCAAGACAAGTCAAGGCTGCGATGGACGCGAGAAGTGCAATGCACATACTCAATGCTCCAAGCACCAAAAGTCTGAAGTATGCGATCCGATCTGGTCTCATCAAAAACTGTCCTATCACTGAAGAAGCGATCAATCATGCCGAAGCAATCTTTGGACCTGACGCATCTACTTTGAAAGGCAAGTCAACAAGACCAACTCCAAAGAAGACACACGATGACTTCTTCAGTCCACCAGAGGAATTGTACCAACACAATCGAACAATTACCGTCTGTATTGATCACATGGAGATCGGAGATGCTAAGTTTCTCACCTGCATTGATACCACTGTGCGTTATTGCTCATGTATTCCCATGCAGAACCTGAAGACTGACCCTGCATTTGAAGCATTGGATAAGATATTCCGCCGCTACAATAAGGCAGGCTTTCATGTCAAGACAATCAAGCGTGATCGGGCATTCATCCCTCTGACGGATGATATGCTAGATGGTATGTGTGTTACTATTGACCCGACTGCAGCTGGAGACCACGAGCCTACAGCTGAGCGAAACAATCGAACGCTGAAAGAAAGAGTTAGAGTAGCTCTTGCACGATTACCCTACAAAGTGGTCCCAAAGGTGATCACTGAATGTCTTGGACGTCGAGCCGCCAAGCTATTGAATGTCTTTCCTCACAATTCAGTCCGCAGCATTTCATTGATAATTTCAATATCAACTACAAGAGTGACATGGTTGCTGGGCTTGGACAGTATGTTCATGCAATTGGGACGGATTCCAACAATTCAATGGAACCGCGAAGTATTAAAGCGATCTACATTGAACCTACAAAGGGACAACGTACAGGGCACCGGGTGCTCAACCTCAATACTAAGAAGATGATTTCTTGACCCAAGGTTGTCGTACTACCCGTTACCGACCAAGTAATCCAGCGTGTTGAAGCTTGGGTTGCTGCCAAAGGTGTTACTTCCATGAAGTTCTTTGATAAGAAGAGAGATTTGGAGACATTTCAAGATGGCGATCAAATCG